TTTTTTTTTTTTTTTTGCTAAAGCAGGAACATTTGTATTTACAACACAGATCTGAAACACCTACATGTTTTTCTATATAACAGAGCATGTTTCCCTTGGCTGACACAGTGTTTTATCTTCATATTTGAGCAGGAATTTATAAATAGGTCATTCTTGGTATTTTAGTCAGAGGACATTTAGGCATTAGTTTTGTTTTAGGAAAAACAGTGAAGTATAACAGCATAAGATATCACATTAGTCTTTATACTTTTTTACATGCACATGAAATTACCATCTGATGTCTTCTTTAATTCAGTTTTCAGTTTTTCCTGTTCTTCTACTAGTTTTTTGTTTTCTGTTTCCCAAATAAGTTCCTCATCTTTGGCATAGCTTTTCAAGATCTATCACAAAAGAAGCTTAGATTGTAATAGACATTATTAACAGAAAATGAGCTAAGTAACCTATTTAAAATTATTGGTACTTAATGTGTTCTTTGTCCTTTTCAGTATTTTATAACTCTCTACAATCTACTTTTGCTAACAGATACTTAATATTTGGCAAAGACAAAAAAATTTCTCCTTATTATAGCTAAAATCTCTAAATGAAAATGAGAATTTCTGATTACTGCAATTAAAATTGTTTTCAAAAGTAAATAATGTGAGTGTCCTCAATTAAGAGATGTAAATCTAAGGGAATAAAAACAGTTCTGAGGATGATATTGACTGGAAAACCATTATCTTCTGATTGCAGAGCTGTCTATTCAGACTATTTTTATAAAGCTAAACTTGCATATATAGACAGAGAAGAATATAATGTTGTCAGAGTAGAGATGGTTAAGTGGAAAATGACAGAACCATTTCTTTTTCTTTCTTTTTTACTTTTGAGACAGAGTTTCAAGCTGTCGCCCTGGGTAGAGTGCCGTGGCATCACTGCTCATGGCAACCTCAAACTCTTGGGCTTAAGCAATTCTCTTGCCTCAGTCTCTCAAGTAGCTGGGACTACAGGCATCTGCCACAATGCCTGGCTGGTTTTGGTTATAGTTGTCACTGCTGTTTGGCGAGCTGGGGCTGGATTCGAACCCTCCAACTCTGGTGTACATGGCTGGTGCCTTAACTGCTTGACCCATTTCTATAGTTGGAAAATTCTATCTTATTTTCATTGAAGAGTCTCCATATTACTTTTATTCAATTAATCCTTTACAATTCTCTTTGTATTTTAAAATCTATTCTGGCTTTTAAGAATGTTTATGTTTTTGTAGCTTATCTTTTCTAGGGAAGAGAAATTTTTTTTTTTTTTTGGGTTGAGACAGAGTTCCACTATATGCCCTGAGCAGAGTGCAGTAGCATCATCATAGCTCACTGCAACCTCAGACTCAGGCTGTGGACATCCTGCTGCCTCAGCCTCCAGAAGCCTGAAGCCACCGGGATTATAGGCACTCACTGAGGTGTCCAGCTGGGTTGTTCATTTTTTTAATGAGTTGGGGTCTCACTCCTGAGCTCAAGCAATTTTCCTGCCTCCGCCTCCCACAGTGCTGGGATTACAGGCATGAGCCGCCTCACCCACAAGAAGATAAATTAAGACCTGAATAGTAAAACAACTGGTTGAAGTAAAAATATGGAACAAAAATTTCATAATCTGTATGTGTGGGTAGAAACTATCATCATTACTGCAACTAAGAAGCTGATTTAAGGAAATGATAAGGAACTAAATAATTTCCTGAAAAAGATGAAATGTTTGAAAAATAAAATGGGTACACACTGGCATTGTTAGATGACTAAATGAAGTGGCAGCAACTTGATATAAGTTCTATAGTCGGGTTAAAAAAATAATTTAGGAGAATTTTAAATAGACTGTCTCAAAAGATAAATTTCTATTACAGGGTGATTCATTTTCTAATATAAGCTGATACATTCAAAAAATGAGTCTCATAAAGTCCTACTGAGCAATGACCACATGCAAATATTTTATAATACAAGGTACTATAAAAAGAATAAAAATGCAAGAGAAACATACGTCTCTACTTTCAGGTAACTTCAACCTGATAGAAAGGGTGAGACAAAAGCATAAAAACTGTGGCACAAGACCAATACAGTATTACTATGCTATAACAGATTAGATAGCTCTGAAAGAGAAATTAGAGCTCTAATACATATATTAGAGTATACATTCCCCAAACTATTTTTTGGAGATGAAAGAACTGAAGTATATTCTGAAAATGAAGAAGTTTCATACCTTCTGAAGTTAAAAAAGAAATTAAAGAGCAGGAAGAGAAAAACAAATTTATCCAAATATCTTAATTTGTTGCCCATTTCAAGTTCAAAACAACCCTAGCTGCTACTTCACCGAATTCGGTTCATACAATCTCCAGTGATTACCCAAATTAGATGAAAACCAATGAGTTGCAGGAATGTTTTCACTGACTGCTTGAATTATTATGCCATTGGCTTGGAAAAGTTGGATTTGTATCAGACCTGTAAATAAGCTTTCATTATTGCACTTGCAAACCTGTCCAAATTTATAATGTGTAACTTGAGGCTGGAGAAAGACCAAGTGCCCTGAAATCTGAAATTCAGTAGTTCCCAGACACAACAACATTTCAAGCGTTCGCTGTCCCACCACCTTATCCCACTTTGGTAAGTGGCTGGGAAAAAAAAATCAGTGAGAAGTAAAGCTTTATTACTTAAATCAGTTAAATTAAAGAGGAATTGGTCTTTCATAATTACTTCATTTTTTTTAACTCATTTTATGGGATGGCATAGGAGTTGAGGGCACAAAACAATATTGTTAAAAGTATGGATTCTACAGTTAGGCTGCTTGGGTTCAAATCTTAGTTCTGTCATGTGTTAGCTGAATTTTTTTTTTTTTT